TCACACATTTTTCCCCAGCAGCAGTAGGTATTAACGTTTACAGTTGCAACTCATGATTGAGATGATTATGGGTGTCTCAGTTACAAATTTCCAAAACATGGGTCCTTATGTTTACAACGATTACTCAGAAAACACGTTTAGAGGTTCTACTGTTGTCTTGGAAATGCATGTATTTTATTTTGAAAGTGATAAACTCTAAACTTGTGATAACACTGCTACTTGTTTTCATACTTGAGACATAAATTTCTAAGTAAGAGTTTAATATTGAGCAGCATTAGATCCCACAAATAAAACAGTTTGAGCTTCATGTGATGTCTTTGCCTAACATAAGCATTCCCATACAGGGCAGGTCCTGAGTGCTCACGTGTCCGGCAGAGTCGTGATGAAGAGCTACCTGAGTGGAATGCCCGAGTGCAAATTTGGCATGAACGACAAGATCGTCATCGACAAGCAGGGCAAGGGAGGAGCTTCTGATGATGCAGGGAAGAGGTGAGTGATATGCATTTTATTTTTAAAACCACAACAGGAAATGTCATTGTCCAAGTTTTAAAAGCCCTAAGTTATGCTTGTCTGTGTTAATATTGTCTTGCTTGCAACGACACAGGGTTTACAATTTCTTTTTCGTTTTTCTTTCCTTTGGATGCATCTCTTTCTTTCCCTCTCTTTCTTTTCTATGTGCTGTACCTCAGTGATTTAGGGGGAGGAAGGTACTGTACTGACAAGTGTCCTCACCCTCTGCCACCTCAACGCACACTCACACCAGCTCCCGTCTCATCTCAGCCCTTTAGCAAATTAAGAATTTGTACATCTCATGCACTGTTGCTCCCCACACAGTCAACACAAACAAAACACGTCTTTAACTTTTGAGTGTGCTGCCTGGTGGTTGCTTTCCCTCTTTTGGTAGAATTGTTTGTTTGTTTTTTGCACCCACACCTACCTGCTTGACATCTAATCCTTTACCCAAACACCTAACAGTGACTGATTTGTTTTAAGTGCAGAATAATGACATTAACCTCAACCAGGTGCACATGTCTTGGTACTAAGCAGTTGTGTCCCTTTGTGTAGTCATATGATAAACCTTAATTGAGGGAAAGTTGTAGTTTTAGCTTTTGGAGACTGGGACCTTTTTTTTTGTTTTTCCTGTACGTTTTTAGTAATAAACAGGTGGACTGTTCTTTCATCTCATGTGGTGTCTGATGTGTTTTCTTTCCTGGTAGTGGGAAGCAGTCCATAGCCATCGATGACTGCACCTTCCACCAGTGTGTGCGCCTCAGTAAGTTTGACTCTGAGCGTAGCATCAGCTTCATCCCCCCTGATGGAGAGTATGAGCTTATGAGGTCAGTAGATGAAAATTTTCTTTCTTTTTTAGCTTCTTTTTTATTGTGAAGTCATGAGAAATTGTTTGGCTCTAATGACATTAAAAGCATCATTAATTGGCATGGATGAACACTGAAGACACTGACTAGGCTTGTTTCTGCTTTACTAATTTACACCGTTTCTTCTCATGCTATTTCTTGCAGATATCGCACTACAAAGGACATCATCCTGCCGTTCCGAGTTATTCCTCTAGTCAGGGAGGTGGGCCGCACCAAACTGGAGGTGAAAGTGGTCATCAAGTCCAACTTCAAACCATCACTGCTGGCTCAGAAGATTGAGGTCAGCTGTTTGTTTGTGTTTTTTGTTTTTTCATGTTACACTCAACATGTAGCGTTTTACTCAGAAATGCAGAAGATGTTAGGAAAATACGTTTTAAATTCTAAGAACTTAAATCAGAGAAAATGTGCAGTTATGGGTCAAAAGTTTACCTGCTCTAATTATTTATTGTTTTATCGTTGCTCCTCAGGTGCGTATCCCAACACCCCTCAATACTAGCGGTGTGCAGGTGATTTGTATGAAAGGAAAAGCCAAGTACAAGGCCAGTGAGAACGCCATTGTCTGGAAGTGAGTATCAACTTTGCTGCACATGGGAAAAGCAAATTTGCTTTTATGTTCTCTGAAAAGTTGATGATTAACAACCTCATATATTTTCTTTGCTTTTCCTTTTTTCCCCTCTTTTTTTTGGAGTGAAAATGCAATGTCTCACATCTTTCTCTGTGCTTGTTTAGGATCAAACGGATGGCTGGGATGAAGGAGTCTCAGATCAGTGCTGAGATTGAGCTTCTGCCAACCAACGATAAGAAGAAATGGGCCAGGCCTCCCATCTCTATGAACTTTGAGGTGAGATTGCTCACTGGAGTGGCGCATGAGCCTTACTTTTCTGAATGGAAAAGTAGTGGACCTTATTATAGAGCTGCTAGCCATAAAAATGGACTTTGGATTAAATCCTACTATCTTCCATGCAAATCACATCCTGCTTACTATTTCCACATAAATACACTTCCTGTTGCAAGAACCTGCGATCTACACCTTGCATGTTTTGGCACGTTTGTAACATTCCTCCTTTGTCCGTGCAGGTTCCTTTTGCGCCATCCGGCCTGAAGGTGCGCTACTTGAAGGTGTTTGAGTCCAAACTCAACTACAGTGACCATGATGTCATCAAATGGGTGCGGTACATCGGCCGCTCTGGAATCTATGAAACCCGCTGCTAAAGTTGTACCTCCCCCCTGCCAGGCAGCAAACTCACCACTTCCCCTCCCATCTATCCTGTTAAGATTTTTTTTCCCCCCCTCCTTTTCCTTCCTCTTCCTCCCACAACCCTTATCACTTCTCTCTCACCCCCTCCCACCTCTCCCTAACTAGGTGTTGAAGATTGAAATTTACATTGTCAAAGAAAAAAAGTAAATATGTTATAATGCACAGATATATGCAAAATGTGAACCATTGTATCGTATATATCTCGTTGTGATGAGTAAACATGAACCAGCCGGTGTCTGAAAGAAAAAGACGAGTGATGCGGGAGTGTCCGGGGGAGCGAACTAGAGGCTTGAAGGGTCCCCCCCCCCCCCCCCTCCTGTGTTTATTCAGTGTTATTGTTCCACTATCTACTCAACACTTAGAAGTCCCAAATCTTCGAGTTATCCCTGCTAAGATGATTAGTAGCTGTTGTGGTTTAAAATGAATCCTGATGTAGTTCCTGTATACAAACGTCTCTCAGTAGAATCTACCCTTTTGAATGAATTGACTGATATGTGATCCGTGTTTTCAGGAGTGCTCATTCGGATCTCAAAAGCAGGCAGAGCAGAAATGATGATGTGCAAGCCTTTTGTTTTTTTGATAGATTTCCCTGGTATTTTTCCACTACTTCTCCCTCACTTTTTTCCCTGGCATTCAGTCAGTGAAGTTAAAACATAAGGGAACATTCCAGACAGTTTTTAAGCTTGACCATCATCATGATAAGCAAGTCGTGACCCAAATTCACACCCAAATTTAACTTTGGCACACTTGGTTTTCTTTGGGATTCAAAGACGAGGCCCTAGACGTGTTTGCAGTGAGGTGAGGTCTCCCCCTGGCGTTTGCTTTGCACCTGTCTGCTTCTTCATGTTTGTAGCCCTGGTGACCGTTCTGTCCAATTAAATCTGACTCTGTAACCAAACCCACCTGTTTGTTTTCATTTGATGTTATTTTAGGCTGTCTGAATTCTATTGTACCAGTTTCCTTTTCTCATTGTTTGAAATAAGGATGTGCTTCTTTGTGGGAACAGCAGATTTTGTAACAGGAGCAGGTTTTTTTTTTTTTTATGCAGGTTATATACAATGCCAAAGAATCCAGTTAACATGGAAAATACTGAAAGACAAATGATGGCTCATGATCCAGAAATGCTTTGGCCAACAATTTTAATACATTTTTACTGCCTTGCTCTTTCTCTACATACAGGACATAAAACAAAATTGCCCCAAACAGCAAAATAACACGATTAAAAACACTTCCTGTTAAAACATTTACATGCCTCTTATTAATAGTGGCTATTATTGGCTTGGTTTGCCACTCGAGCCTCCACCACCTTGTAGGTGGATTTGCTCTTAATGAGAAGTTCACTGATTTTATTTTTTTTAATGGAAAAGCTTCCAGAAGAAACAAAGCGAGGCTTCCCAAAACTAGCTCAGCACCAAAGACTAGGCTGGATTTCCTCAAGGAATAATGCAGGGTGAGTACTCAAGTCCTGTTCAGCTGTTTCCCTCAAGTTCCAATTAAGATTTCACCCACAACAAGCCTAGAGCATATCAATCGACATCTGTCAACATTTATATTAGCGTCATCTTAACAGTATTGCGTTACATCTTCAGATATCCTGTGATTTTTCAGTCACAGTTACAGAGGGGAGGGAAAAAAAAAAAAACACGATTTATCCCCAAAGATACAGGACATAACACACACAGAGGCTGGACTTAAATATTTGAGCAAGTCACATTGCTTCAGTGCAAGGACAATGGCTCTGTTTAGAAAGGAAACCTTATGCCCATACTTTGTGCTCGTCTTCGGAAACAATCAGTTCAGGGAGGGAGGTAGCTACATAAGTGTGGTGCACACAAGCCCAGCTCAGAAAGTGGAAGTCCTGTCTTAAGTTTTAATGATTTGCTGTGTTAGTGTGCTTCCCATTAGGAGGCTTTATTCAGCAAAGAAACCTGTTTTGTGCTTATGAATACTTATTTGTAAAGATGGGCAACCAGACTGTTGTGTATTTTACTTTTTCCACCGCTGCTCATGTTGATTATCTGCTCAAAATGAAGCAGCACAGGTGAAAAACAAAATCTACAAAAATAAGCATTTAAGTATCTACATCAACATCTAAACTGTTGCTGTTCCTCTGTTTACGCCACTGAAAGGCGTCTAGTCCCAAACTAGTCTTTCAAAGACCGATTTCCCGTCTGCAGACACGATTTAAAAGCAAATTTATTACTATATGCATTAAAGTCGTAGCTTACACCAGATCTGTAAACAGGTGGCAAATATTGACAGAACACGTTTCAAACATGCCAATTTAAGAGCTTTGACACACGAACATGCGCATACACTGACAAAAACAGGCCCAATTGCAGGCAGGCAGGCAGGCAGGCGCACACACACACGCGCACACACACACACACACACACACATTGGAAAAATGCTGCTGTTTAGTAGAACAAGTGTACTCTCAGATTCAGCTCACACAGGATCTGGAGTTTCCTGGTTATTTTAACAATGAGAAATAAAAAAAAGAGCCAGGTCTTTGTTTTGTTAGTATGAGCAGAATATAAATTGCCCCGTTGCATGAGCCAGGGCACGTAAAACTTCAATTAATTGACCTGCTCTGACAACCTGCAGCCCGAGATACCCAACAGTGTCTTCGTGATTCCTCGGCTGACCTTTCCGACACCGAATTTGGTGTCAAAGCCATGGCGGGGGGACCCACTCCTAATGCAATACAATGCTAACCTTAATAATACCGTGGTAGACGAGTGCACCGCGTGAAATATCTGTGACAGTGAGTGACTAAAAAAACAACACAAAAAAAACCCCAACGCAAACAAAGTGAAAGATAAATGAAACTTACCTGTACAGAACTCAAGTGACTACAGCCATAATTTTAACTGATCCTTACACAGGAACAAATAGGATAAAATTGGCCGTTTAAAAAAAAACAAAACCTGGCTGTTTTAATGACAGTGAAGTCCTAAAGGTCAAAGTAAAACCATAAAACAAAAAGACATTTAAAGCAGGAGCTCAATGAAATTCACGCTACTCGACAGTGCTACCAGTTTAGTAGAGCTGACTGCGACCTGACAGCAGAGAGCGCGAACGAAGTCTAGTTCTCGTCGTCTTCGTCGTCGTCGTCCTCGCTGATGAGGTATCCGCGGGCCCCACTGTGATGGGGAGGTGAGGGGGGCGGGGAGGTCTTGGAGAAGAAGGGGAGACGGAAGGTGGGAGAGGGAGAGCGCTCCTCGCGGGTGGGGCTGCTGCTGGGGCTTTGTCTGGGACTGATGGCCTGCAACATGCGGCCACGTCCTTCCTTCAGCATGTGTTTCTGTGGAGGCGAGACAAAGGCGGGAACAGATGAGCTGGTGATCAAATCAGCTGAATGCAGGAATAATGTGCTGTGCCGTGTGATTTTAAGTCAGTGTGACTTTTCTACATACAGTGGTAACAAAAACACAGAGTACACATGGTCCAGCTGACGGCTTTTTTCATTGTTACAAGTTTATATCTCTGCTTTAAATCCCAGACACTATCAAAAAACACTAAGACTGCATTTCATTTCTACAGTACCATCATGTCACATATGGGAAGACGTGTGTTTTGGGACTCCGACCTGATATCAGAACTATGAGCTGAAAACTTAGATTTAAAAGTCCCGGGCAAGATCTTGGCCGAGACAAGTGAAAATAAGTTTGGATCTTTGCCTGCCTGTGAGTTCAAACAACTGAAGGACAAAATTAAATGATCCGATTTGTTGATCACACATATTATGCACAATGGAATTAACCGACTGAGCTAATAACCTAAAATAAAGATAAAAGACATCTATGACTTAACCATCCCCTGGTAACCTCTAGTCGCTAAGGAAAAATGTGTAATCCCGACCAGTTGGCAACTGATGTTGGTGATGCATAAGATGAGCCCTATTGTTCATAGTATTCCCAGAGTATTTACATTTATTTATTAAAATACTGATATTTTGTGTCCCTGTATCAAAACAATACCACGTCACTGTGAGCGGCTGCACAGCAGACACTTGCAGAAATTGCACATTTTCCCCTCACATTGGTGGTTCCTACATTGTCAGTAACTGGTCTACAGTCCTGTGTGACTGAAGCCTACTATCACAAAGTCATGTTATTTTAGTCTTCACCATTTCTACCGTGTTTATGCTTTGTTCATTTACACCAACAATACTCTCACCTCACAGATGTGTGCATCACTGGCTATAAAGCCTTTCTTTCAAGTGAAAAAGTCTCCCAGACGTTTAACATTGCCAAAAAGCACATGTTTCCAATCAAATTCCTCATTAAATAGTGTTTAAAGACCAAACAAAACCAGCATCCTCACCAAGGCTCCCTCAGGGCCAAACATCTGCAGGAAGTTTCCAATAAACTCCCTGGACTTCTCTTCCCATTTCTGAATCAGGTCGATGCTCTTCTCCTCCACCTTCTGGACAAACTCCTTGCTCTTCTCCTCTACGTCACGCACCTTCTTCTTCACCTTGTCCACGCGTTCCTGGAGATGGTACTTCTTCTCCTGTTAAGGGTGCACGTGACAAAGGAGACAGGTTAACGAACACATCCACTGTCTGTTTAACGTCCGGTTAGAGCAAAGCAAAGTTTCGTACATTGATGAAGCTGACGTTGAGCTCCTTGGCTGTGTACCCTCGCTGCAGGTTGCGCCTGACATATACATCATAGTCGCGGACTATGCGAGTGATGATGTCAGAGGTGGAGATGCCCTCTGTCCGCTGGGTGGGTGCAAACATACCTAAAGAAAGCAGAAAAAGCTGTAGCGATAAGAGTTTCTGGACTTATCCAATTTGATCCTTGTTGACTGCATACCACATTCCTAATCTCCATTATGCTGTTGCTCACCAGCTTCTTTAATGTGCTTGTAAACATCATCACTGCCCGCTGAGGAGTATGGGATGTCGTCGTGGGCCACGAAGTCAATCTGGAGAGGTCATTACAAGCAACACAGATAAACAAAGGGGAGATTCAGATCTACAAGCTGTACAAAAATAAAACAAACAAAACAGTAGGGAAAAAGTTAGCACTATAAAAATGTCTACAGTCTGACTCCAAGTTCTGAGTGAAGGGACTGAAAGTTTCTAGTCGTGGTTTTTAATTCTGTGTCATGTACTCACACGATGTTTTGCAAGAAACTCTGGCGTTAACGTCCAGGGGGCGTTTCGCACTACTTCATCCACATAGCGGCAATGTCTGATAGCATCATATCGCTCATCCTCGTTCATCACTGTGAAGCCCTTGTACTTGTGAGTCAGGTCATCGCTGCACACTGACAGGAAATATTTAAAGAAGTGAAAATTTAAAGTTTCTCCACAAAAAAAAAAAGAGTCTTTGAAAAACTGATTTAAACAGAAGGGAAAGCCATAGAGACAGAAAATACTCAAACACTTCAGCTGAGGGATTTACTGTGACTCAAGTTCAAGGAGCATCATGTAACAATCTCTGATTGCATTGCCATTAAAAACACCACCGCACTGTTTGTTCTTATTTTATTAGACAGTTGGGAACAGAATGTGACGTACGCTCACAGAGCATAAAAACGAAACGCTGAAAGAATATCCAGCTGTTGAACAACATCCAGCAGCTGAGAGCAGCAACACACACTCAAGCTTACCTCCAACAATGAGATGTGTATTTGGGAAGAGGCATTTAGCCTGCATGAGGGCTCTGGCGTGACCTGAGTGGAAAAGATCAAAGATGCCATCTGCATAGACCCTCACAGGTCTTTCAGCTGGACGAACAAATGAGATAAGATATTAGGAGGTGGACAGAGAGAATCAAATGGTTTCATTTTGACCACAGCTGTGAATTTACTTAAGACTGTGGCACCAGAGAGGCAATCAAAGTGTGAGAGATTTAAGCTTTCAGACTCACGTGGTGTTCCCCTCTTGGCCTCTTCCATGCTGACTCTTTTGTAAGCTTTACTATCAGCTGGCTCTAGCTCATCTGCAAAGGGTACAGGGTGCCTGAGCCCCTGAAAGAGACATTGGAGGAGAATGAGATGATATAAAGGATCAATTGTGCATTTTTGTTTTTTATTTAAATGAATTTCCTCACAAATACTAGAAAAACTGTCGTCATATCTTTAAAATGATGTAATTGCTCTTTCCTGGACTCTTACAGCATAAACTGATGTGGACATCAAGGGTGAACGGATGACATTTCCTCAGCAAACATCAGCTGATATCTCACACTGCAGTATTATTGCTTGGGGCTCTTTGCATTGGTGTGCACTTTGTACAGCATTACGCACAAAGATTGCACAGCAAATACGGTGCTGTTAAAGCACAAAGACTCACCACAGTACACCTGGGGATTTTCCCAAACCGTTCACCCTCCTCGGCCTCCCCATTGGAGCCATCTCTTCTTCTCTTTCTTGACAGCAGCAGTGTGCTGGAGCTTTGGGCCTCCATCTGGGTCAAAGGTTAAGACAAGTGCAATTTAAACACCCCACACTTCACATTCAACTCTTTTCCATGTCCTAGGTTAATTAGTAACTAGAGCAGGGCGATATGACCAAAAATATTTATCACGATATACATTTGAAAATTTGCAATAACGATATAACTGACGATAATTGACGCTAGACAAAATACTTTACAACTCCTCAACTTTATTAGTGCAAAAAAAAAACAACCCATCAATGTTTTTTCACTTAAACAAGCAGCTTTTTTTAAGTGCATTAAAGTTATATAAAAAAATTAACAGTGCAAATGCAAATTCCTTGCTGACAGCTTAACCAAAAGGCATTTCCAGTGGAAATTGGCCGACATATCCTGAGCTTAACCATGTATAATATCCAAAAAACTTAAAAAGAGTGTTATACACACAATACGTTAATATTATGTTGAAGCAAAGTACGTATCACTCGGCGAGGCGCCTGACTACGGTAGCCGTAATGCTCCGACAATCATCGAGCATTGCGCCTTCATAGCTTAGCAAAGTCGTACTGAAACATTTGACAGATTTTCGAGCGCCGTGTACCACATAAAATCGTTTCGAGGTCAGTAAACACAACCAGAATTCATACAGAAGGCACACGGGATTATAAAGGGCACTGTCGATTTTCAGAAAAATCAAAGGATTGATTGAGTGTGCTGTATTTTCCAAAAAACACGGTAATAACGACGGCCCGCTAGCATGCGCTACCAAAAATAGTGCTTTGTTGTGTATCTGACGGATGAAAGCTAAGCCAGTTCCACACCACTGAAGTTGCAGCATTTTTACAAACCAATTCTGGTTCATCAGTTTCATTTAACGATCCACTTTCGCCCTTCTCATTCTGCATCGCCGCCATGTGCGTATGTAAACAAAGGCACTGCGCATGCGCGTTTTACCCATATTCTATCGCGATATTTCATTTTCTTATCGTTGCCCAACATTACACCGATATTACCGTGAACGTTATGATATAGCCCAGCCCTATTAGTAACACTTTATGTTGGGGGTAGGAACTGTATTACATAATTAAAGCACACAAGCACACTCAAAATATAATATACATCACGGACAGACTGTAAATTTATACAGCTGTCGTGTTATGACAGGTGATATATGCCGAGTCACCTTTGACCCAGAAACCGGGAGAACACAGTATGAACCACCATGACAGATTCTCACATCCATAGAGATACAGGTCAAGTGAAAATCAAGCAAACACCACCTGTTCCAACATACCATAGTTAATTCCTAAACATACAGAACATTAACCCCATTCAGCCTTTACATCTGATGCCTCGTGTGAGACCAAGTTAGCCTCGCATGTGGGAACATTAAACCCAGCCCCGTTTCTCCAGTGTCAGCAGGTCACCACAAGTAGGCGTATTTTTATACTCTATGCTGATAGACTTCAGCTGACTTTGTGATACACATAAGAGTCTGCTGGATGCCTTTCCACAACTTTATGGCACAGCCTGAGATATTTGGAGGAAGCTATAAAGGAATACTTCTTGCAAAGATGAATAATCCCCTCATGAGACTTCGGTCGGCTTCTCTTATCAAACCAACAAGCTCACATTATAAAAGTTATTAAACATTAGAAATGCTTGCTTTCAAAAATGATTAACGAGTAATCCATAGCCAAAATGACAACCGAATACGTGTATGTTCATTAATCAACCATGCAGAAGAGAACAAATATGGGAAGGTCTTGTGTTTGTATCTTGTCTGCAGTGTGTCTGTGCCCTTGTAACAAAAAAAAGAGACTCTTTAGCATCACATGACATTTAGCTTCACGACTCATTCAAAACAAAGACGTTCCAACCACCCCGACAGTCAGAATATGGAAAAAAGTCAAGTCTATAATCTAAGTGTGCTAGTGTTATGGGTGGAAGCTCTGCCTCATTCCACACATTCAAACCACACATCATTAAAGTGGATATTCAGATTTTATGATTAACCGTGGCACTTCCTTAAAGGAGACATACTCAGATATCCAGCTCCATATTATTATTAAACTAGAGTAGATGTGCATTGTTTATAGTTTAGGATAATCCCAATTTATCCTTTTACTTAACACTAGTTGTGTCTTAAACAAGTTTTTATCTGTTCTCCCTTTATGACCACTTTTATGTCAAATTCATCTAACAAATTCATGCACACAACACCAAAACTTAAAAAACCTGATGCTTTATTGCATATATTTATTTCACCCGTCATATTTCACACACTGTTCAAGTACATATCATGTTTTCGCTGTTTTGTTTTTATAGTTGTGTGTACTTTTCTTTTTAAGTTTTAATAGTGATCTATTTTGCTGTGTCATGAAAAGCACTTCACAACTATGTTTTTGGAAAGTGATATATGAATAAAGTTCAACATTGGTATCCAGATTTGAGAGCATTAACAACTGACCTAATTATCTGAAAGTTTTACAATAAATTTAGAAGAAATGGAAAAGCAAAAGAAAAGGTTTCTTTTAACTTGTGATTAGGTCATAATAGCCCCCGGCTGGACATCTGCTGCTGTGTCAGTTATGAAACTGTGACTCAGTACAATGAGTGAAGGACATGGCAGCTCAACATTCCTGGTAGTGACAGCTATCTGATCCAACACTGGGCACTTGCACAAACGCCCCCCTCCTGCCAGCAGCTGAACACTGGGACTGAGAAGTCCTACAGGGCTCCCACACAGTGACAGAGACGATTTAGATGAAGAGCGCATGTCATCGTCACTGAAACTGACTGCTATAATAAGAACGCAACAAAGGGACCAGTGCCAAACACTGTGTGAATAAGTGCTGTGCAAATGAGGTACACGATCAAACCTGTAAAACGATTAAATAACACAATGCTTCTCAGCAAATCCAAGAAAACAATATAATGTATTAAACTTGTAGTGATTACCTTAACCCTATAAGTTTAGCCTTCTAGCCTTTTATTTATTTAAACTTTATTCAAATTGTATTTTATTGCTTTGTCCAGCACTTTGGTCAGTGGTTGCTCTTTTTGTAACTGCTTTATAAATACTTGGCTAGCCTAGTACAGAATCATCTTTATTTCTCTTTACGTTCTCAAAGCTAAAAGAGACTTTTCGATATCTTTCTTAAGCCAACTATCAGGCTTAAACCTGAATATCTTCCAGAAACACATCAAAAACTGAAATGAGACACTGACTGCAGCACTGTTCCACAAATGACTCAAATGATTAATCATTGATTACAGGAAGTTACCTGTTCAAATTCGGGTCAAATCTAAGAATAGTAACTGTGTGCACATCCAACGCTGTCTTCGCTCGTGCAGTAAGGTTTAAACACAGAAGTTATTCGGCCCTGGCCCGGCTCACTAAAGGTCCTCCGACCACACTTTGAAAACCACACAGCATTTAACACAATGTTCCAATGTCTAGTATCCCTGGGAAGTTATAATGCTGTTCAGTAAGGCTGCAAATACATGCAAAGTTGACACAGAGAGTGCAACAGGCATCTAACCTCAACTATTGACAGGAGAGACACCAACAGCTGACAAAGGGCTTGGTGATAATAGTTGTGAAGTACAGCAGTAAAAAAAATTCGCTGTGCCGACTTTTTCGCCTCACTGAAATTCCCAACCTCACTAGGCTAAAAATCCCGGCTCGCAACATTAGCTAACGTCAGGTTTGAAGTTTCTGCTTGCTTACCTTTCGCTGTTTTTTTTTTTTTTCGGAATGCTGCCTTGCACGAGTGGGCGGCTTCCTACCCTCGCAGTGCCAGCAGGCTAGCTGGCTGAAAGCAAGAAAGCTAGCTAACGCTGCTAGCCACCCTCAGTTGCTAGTTACCAATCTACCTTTTAAAGTTGGCCGCCTATTAGCTAACTTTAGCTGTTAGCTCGCTAGTTCGCTAGCACAAGTGACAACGGTAAAGATGAACAATCCTGTGCGTCCAACGTCCCAGTATTTTCTGTGTCGCTGTCAAAATACCGCATCAACCAGAAGGACAGACAAATTCTCAGCAGTGACAGTCTGTACTACAAGGCTGACAGGTCAACAACACAGGAACTACAAAACTTGGACATCCTTAAAGGAACTGGTACAACAACGGGCGCTTCCGTGACTGTACTCGACTGCCACCTACTGGAATTATTCTTCTACTTCTTCTTTTTCTGGTGTTTGCTAGCAGCTGGCATCTTTTACGTTGCATCGCTCCTTCTATATCTTTAGTTTGTCATTGTCCTTTCGTTCTAAGTCGTCCTAATGAGAAGATCCCTTTCAATAAATAACATTCTCCTTCTCTCTGTTGTGTCCCACACATAAGCATAATGTATAACCCTAAACTTTGCATGTCTCTTATCAGCTCTCTTGCTTTGTAAAACTTCTTGCACAAGATTAAGACATTGCACACTTTCTCTTTCCTGATTACAACAACCAGTAGGATGCTTTCCTGCAGTAAAAAATGTTCTGTGTAAATGAATGTGTCCTGTTCTCAGCCTACAAGTGTTCTCTTGTTCTTTCCGATTAGAGTTCCTGCTTCTTATCTCTCCCACCTCCTTCTGTAACTTCAGCTATTTATCTACACCTCTCTCCAATGACTTTGACAGTTTTATATGAATATCTGTGTTTTCTTTGCTATTCACAAATTAGCAGGCGAAAATTTTATTCTTTGTTTTGCTTAAGTTTGATCTGCACTGTCATACTACCCTGGTTATATTCTTACACAATTTCCTACTTACCCTCTTACTCAAGTAAATAAAGCATTGTCACAGTGTAAAACCCTCCCAGTAAGATAGGTTACCATGATGAGTCACAAGGACCAGTACATTATACAACACAGACATCACTGGTATTATCTTTAGACCTCGCCTTTTCATTCTCTAACAATATAAATTTATTCTTACATCATGTTGATATGCTTAATTATCAAGACTGTTGCTGGCATGTGACTAATGTGGTAGTGACTGTCTGGATCTATGCAGGGCATACTGTAACTATGACAATCTAATCAGCTTAGATATTCACTGATTTACTATAGAAAGGCTTAAAAGATCTGTGTACTGAACACAGTCCTATTCTGGTAAGTAATTTATAACCACCCCTGAACAGTATTTTTTTTAGCTCTATGTGGGCTGAGTAATGGTGAGTGTGGGGGGTCATTGGTGCAAGATTTTTTATTTTATTCAACGGTTGCAAATTTCTTCCTGCATCAGAAAATTTGGTAATGATTACAGTCAAGCTGGCCTCAAAGTACGAAAAATATGGCACATTACATTGGGTGCTTTATCCCCATTTATGCCAGGTTTTGGACTAGTGTAGTTGGGAACTGATCCTCTTATGTCCAGTAGAGAGCTCCAGAGACAATGTGTAATTTCCACAATAACCTTAAACACATGATACCTTGAAGAAAGTGCTGAAGTTGTGCAATGAAACTGTTTGACTTGAAGTAAAAGGTACAGAGTGGATTGTGCTGTGTTATACTGCGTGTAAAATCCTTCAAGTAGTGGGAAGAATTAAGGTGCCTAAGGGGCATTAAAGTTAGAGAAAGGGTGGGGGCAGGGCAGGACACTAAGGTGAAGATGGATTAGGCCAGTGACTCTGCAGTAAGCAGCCACTGCTTTTTCTTACATCTGAACCATCTTGTTTAGTTAAAAAATACATGTTTCCTGCCCAGCTTACACCCTCTGCAAAACAGACTGATTTATGTTGCATGGAGCTTTGTCTGAGTGTTCGGGTAGACTCTTAAGTATATGATACAATAATGGTACTAGTATGGTACTATTAAAAGGTACTATTATAATAATATAATAGTACCTTTACCCTTGCATTTAGAGCATGATGTTCACCATTGGCCAGATGTCACAAACCGTCAGACTCACTGTCTCCTTCTTGCACCATTTGATCACAAACTTCTCTACTAGTTTGAGGGATAGAATTTACTCTGCTGCTGAAATGACAAACACAGGGCTTGGCTGATAGATCCTGAGAAAAATGCAAAGAAAGCACATGAAGGTTGCAATAAAGCAAATACTAATCAATCACTGTAAATTTAAACATCTGGCTCATCTGAGGAGAGCATTTGGCCTATACAAATATGCTACACACTGAAGCCAACAGCCAATCACAAAAACTCTATGGTCACCAAATACCTGCCGCTTTAATATTTTATTCATTTTAATTCTTTATCAAGCCTTTATCAAGGTGGAACCAGGTCTTGTTGGTTCAGTATTCACAGCTGTACTTATGACGATTAGACAAAAGATTAGACAAGAACTCTGAGGTTCAGTGGCAGGTGAGCATGTTTGGTTAGTAGTTAATAAGTAAGACTTTGCTTATTTAAAAAATCTATTAGCGCTGGCAGATGATATGTTTTTATAGGGAAGTTTGTTTTTTATAGACTGTAGCACTGTGTGTATCTTTTATGACTTTTATTGTGTTATATGTTCTTGTTTTATAGGCCTTTGTGAATAACAACAGTGATGCATAAAAAATATTTTTAAAAAACTATACTCCTAACCATATAACCATATAAATATAAATAAGAGACGGTTATATGGGGACTCTGCCAGCAGGAGGCGGTAATGCTGTTGCTTTTTAACAGCTTTGTGTCCGAAGAAGAGCTAAGTGCAGCCAAGCGCTGTCTCTTCCAGCATCATCAGTCCCCCCCCCGTCTCCATCATCTCCCTTCACAGTTAACGTCCAACAAACTGGGTTCTGTTGTTGTCTGTCTACGTAAATTTGACTTCTGATAGCAGGTGCGTTATTATACTCTTATAACTATGTAATTAGACACGCGTGCGGGGGCATTAAAGCAGAAAAGCTCGGCCGCTGGTTTGCGGGACGTTTCCGTTAGTCGGTTTATTGTAACAGCGGGCCCGCCGGCTGCCATGGAGATTAGCATGCTAGCACAGCTAGCCGCCTGTGCTGACATCGCAGCTGTTTATTACATTAGAAACGCGTTTGACAAACGGTGGGCTACATGTAAACTCTTAACACACTGAAAAATAATCCAAGTTACGCGACGAGGATTAAGAAAAAAGATGCGCAGCAGCTAATTTTGTGTTTTATTCTGCAGTTATGACATTGGGTGGAGTAGTGATGAGCATCTCGGCTGTGGTCACCAAAGAAATCCATGTCTTTGGATTAGGACACAGTGTGGAGGTTTTGTGTGCAGGTTATTATTTAAAACGCTGCTAGCTCTGACTTTTCACAGGCTTATAAATGAAAACTAAAAAAAAACAACCCATTATTTCTTGGATGAGTTTTGACTGAAGGGATGATAATGCATAATCTGTGCATTTTGTTTTGTTTCTCTATTTATGAAATAGTCACGCTCGACTGTAACATTATGGAGAAAAGAGATAAAGAGAACATTGTTATCAGCAACTGGCGGGTGTTCACATGTTAGCAGTGTGATTGGCCCACGGCTACTTTAAATCTCAGTTCAAACAGCCAAACTGATGCACTCCGTGGTTAAGTTTCTAAGTCAGAGGGGAAGCTTAAATTAACTTAATTTTATTTGTGTAAACAATGGAAGATAGGAGTGCTTTCATTATATTTGTTAACAATATAACTAGCGTGCGCAATACCTGTAATTGGCATGTAATAGTATGATAGGGTTCATGTAAAAAAATGTTAAGAAAAAAAACATGAAAAATTGTTAACAACATGGTTTCTTAAGGCCAGTATAGATATTTGGTGATTTAGAATTCCAAAATTATGATACAATCGCCCAATCTTTTTTCCTTCCATAAACAGGTAACATAGACAGATTTCCCTAAAAAATTTTATGTATAGTTTTTTGTTGTTGTTGTTGTTGTTTTGTTTGTTAATGTACTCCTTTATGCTCGGCATTTATACTGTGCTCAGATCAGCTGGTTGTTGAGACTGCTGGTTGTTTTGTGGCCAACGGAGGAGATACAGAGTGCCCACTAGTTGACAAACTGTGCAACATCAAGACTCATAACACGGTTGAAGGGTGTTTCTACTGTCTCATCTTTACTTTTTAAATTTTAATTTATGAGCTGGTATAAATACTGATACCAGCAAATAGCTAATACTTGCTCATAATATGGACTACCAATAAAACTTCATGAACAAGTTCTTTGAGTGAATGTTTAACAGTTTCAGGGAAAATGGATTAAATGTCATTTACAAACACTTTAATTCAATTTTAAAACGAAATGTGTCAGAAAGTTTTGTGTATCAACATACTAGAAAAATAGCAGTAAATCTTCACATTTGAGAGTCTGGAAATTTGGGACAGTTTTAGGATTTCTTTGCTTGAAAAATGACAGGTAGAGTAATTGGCTATTAAAGTAGTTGTTCATATATTTTTCCACAAGCTTAGTATCACATTACTAGAATATTTCTTTTCCTGGCTTCTGTCTTCATACTAAGGTCAGAGCTTAGTGGTAACCCCATTCAAACCCTCTTTAAACTAGTGAAGGTCTGCTGTTCACAAGTAGGTAAAACGACTGGACTCATATTTGTGGACCAGTAATTTGTTATGTGGTAACGACCTGCTCCATCCTGCAGCATGTCTGACAAGAGTGAACTCAAGGCTGAGCTGGAAAGGAAGAAACAACGGATCGCCCAGATTCGAGAGGAGAAGAAAAGAAAAGAGGAAGAGAAGAAAAAGAAGGATGTGTGTAATAGCAACTATTACATAAATTTTGTAGAAAGGCAGTGCAGCAGTCAGACTGAGAGACTGAAGTTGTTTGTGTGCCGCGCTTTGTAGGGAGACTCTAAACGTGGGGGTGAGGCAATGGGTGGATCTTCAGCCGGCCATGAAGATTCAGACCTGGAGAGGAAGAGGAGGGAGGCTGAGGCTCTGCTGCAGAGCGTTGGCATCACCCCCGACGTACCCCACGGTAAACGCGTGCTGCCACCATGCTCCTGTTTTTTAACATTCACCTCCACTTATCTGCCATAACTTTGTGCTCATGTGCTTGATGGATTTGCAGCGTTTCCAAAGTTCTCTCTAAGCTCTCTGGTTCTGGCTCGGACTCACACTCATGGCTTTCTCCATAACACAATATGTGGATGTTTTTACATGTTTTGCGCATGACACCTAAAACCTGCCTGCCATTTATTTTCATTCTCTCTTCTCTCCCCTTTTGTCTGTCCTTTTGTGTTTTGTCCTCTTTACTGCATGCATTCACC